TTTTTTTTTTTTTTTTTTTTTTTTTTTTTTTGTTTTAATACGTTCTTTCAGTATAGATTATTATACTTGCCTTAGTGCAGATGTAAGTTCTAACCTTTGGTTAGTGTATTTTGATCTATGTCTGTTAGGAGTTTCTATACAAGAGCTCTCCTATTGCTTGAAACATTGAGTTCTGTTTAGTTGTTGTTCTACGTTAATCGTCTGTCCCTTCCTTTAAACTAACCTCTTGACTGTCACCCCCACGTGATATATAGCAACTGGCGATCAAGATGATGGCCAATTCTCAGACCGAATCAAGGCCACGTTTTGTCGCTCAGGCTCCTGACTCTTTTGACCCAACAGTGGACCATGTGGAGTCTTGGCTAGCCAGGTTTGATGTTTTTATTACTATTTCTTAGGTAGAGGATCAGCTTAAAAGGTTTTTCTATACTCAATGCTTTGTCTTAAAACGCGTATCGTGCGTTAGCGGCGTTTGTGAAGCCCATGGATGTGACGACTTTGACGTATCAGGCTTTGCGCGCTAAACTGCTTGAAATGTGCGCAGCAAAGAAGTTATTGTTTTCAAAGCGTTACCATTTTTTCTATCTAAAAAATGAGTCTCGGAATTGTGTAGGATTTGCCTGTTCTATCAAGAAAAAAGCCGCTTTTTGCGAGCTTGGCGATTTTTACGTTCTGGCTCTCGCTCTAGTGTTCACAATGGGCATTAACAACGTCTCTCTGCGTGAGAAATTTTTGGAGATTGAGAAGTGTATTCTGGAACAGGCTTTTCGATAGCACAAAAGAAGGAGAACATTGCAACGGAGTTTGTACGTATTAGGAGAGAGAGTGCGCCTCAGACCAATTCTATTCCTACTACTGCTGCAGCGCTGTCTCAATCACCATTTCAAAACTTTGGCAATTGTTTTAGTTGTGGAAGCCGACATAAGCGACAGACTTGTAAATTTCGAGACGCAGAATGTATGAAATGTCACAAAAGAGGCCATTTTGCTTCGGTATGTAAATCAACTATTCAGACTACTCCAGAAACGAGCAATAGTTGGCAGAGGGCTGCTAATGCGCAAAATGCGTCTTTATTTCAGGGTAGAGCAACACGAAGAGTCAAAGGTGCACTGTCTCGTCACCACATAAATACAATTCATTCAGCGCTGTCGGCTCATAGTATTACAGAGAACCCTAAAACAGGCTGGTTCTTTGTTACTCTAGAAATCAATAGACTTTTGGTAGAGATTTAGATAGACACCAGGTCTTCTTTCACTATTTTAAGTAAAAGTTGCTGGCTGCATATAGGTTCCCCCAAACTAAATCCAGTCACATTATGTGCCCGGAGTTACTCAGGTGACCCACTGTCATTCAGCGATGAATTTCAAGCAATAATTCAATACCAGAATACTTCAAAATCCTCTATCATTTGAGTTTTAGAGTCGGCCCGTGGTAGCGTCTTGAGACGTGATTTAATTTTCGCGCTTAAGTTGGACCATGTTCTTTTAAATTCCTTTTATAATGCCATTTTAGAAAATACAATTTTTTCAAAAATTGTGCTCTGAATTTCGGCAGTTGTTTGCTAAAGAGTTAGGACGCTGTATTCAAATGAAAGCTCGGTTACAGCTAAAGCCTGAAGCTGCTCCTGTTTTTCGCTAGAAACGACTAGTTCCTTATGCTATTCAACCAGCAGTTGAGCATGAATTGAACCGACTAGTTAAGCTAGGTATCCTTACACCTGTCGTTTATTCCGAACGGACAGCCCCAGTCGTAGTGGTAAAAAAGCGCAATGGCACTATTCGTTTATGCGCTGATTTCTCTACTGGGCTGAATGCCGCATTAGATGTACATCAATTTCCTCTACCTAATCCGAAAGGTATTTTTGAGACTTTGAATGGAACTCGTGTGTTCTCACATATCGATTTGTCCGACGCCTACTTTCAGATTGAACTTGATAATGGAACCAGGAAATTGCTAGTGATTAACACACATTTGGATTTTTTTCAGTATAACAAGCTAGCATTTGGTGTTAGTTCAGCACCAGCCATTTTTCAACAAACCATGTCGCAAGTCATTGCAGGTCTTCCAGGGGTAGCAGCGCATTTAGACGACATTTTTATTTCTGCAAATACTAGATCAGAAAACATTAACCGGTTTTGTAAAGTTTTTAAGAAATTACAGTTGTTCGGGTCCGCATTCAAAAAGAGAAAGTACTTTTGCACCTTTTTCAGTAAACTGATTAAGGTTCACTG